GCTTTGGGGCTGTTTTTCTGCAAAGGGACCAGGACGACTGATCCGTGTAAAGGAAAGAATGAATGGGGCCATGTATCGTGAGATTTTGAGTGAAAACCTCCTTCCATCAGCAAGGGCATTGAAGATGAAACGTGGCTGGGTCTTTCAGCATGACAATGATCCCAAACACACCGCCCGGGCAACGAAGGAGTGGCTTCGTAAGAAGCATTTCAAGGTTCTGGAGTGGCCTAGTCAGTCTCCAGATCTCAACCCCATAGAAAATCTTTGGAGGGAGTTGAAAGTCCGTGTTGCCCAGCGACAGCCCCAAAACATCACTGCTCTAGAGGAGATCTGCATGGAGGAATGGGCCAAAATACCAGCAACAGTGTGTGAAGACTTACAGAAAACGTTTGACCTGTGTCATTGCCAACACAGGGTATATAACAAAGTATTGAAAAATCCTACAATGTGATTTTCTGGATTTTTTTCCCTCATTTTGTCTGTCATAGTTGACGTGTACCTATGATGAAAATTACAGGCCTCTCTCATCTTTTTATGTGGGAGAACTTGCACAATTGGTGGCTGACTAAATACTGTTTTTCCCCACAGCATGCTGTGCGTGTGATAAATATACTGAACAAAAATATAACCGCAACATGTAGTGTTAGTCCCATGTTTCATGAGCTGAAATAAAAGATCCCCGAATTTTCCCATACGCACAAAAAGCTTATTTCTCTCAAATGTTGTGTACAAATTTGTTTACATCCCTGTTAGTGAGCATTTCTCATTTGCCAAGATAATCCTTCTACCTGACAGGTGTGGCATATCAAGAAGCTGATTAAACAGCATGATCATTACACAGGTAATGATGAGATCCTGAGGCCCATTGGTGTGCCATTCATCCGCCGCCATCACCTCATGTTTCAGCATGATAATGCACGGCCCCATGTCGCAAGGATCTGTACACAATTCCTGGAAGCTGAAAATGACACACTCTCTCTTGCTTCTCCTTCATTTTGGAATAAATTAATTTGTTCAAAATTATTCAACTATTATCTTTCTCTCTCTTTGAGTCAACTACTCACCACATTTTATATACTGCAGCGGTAGCTAGCTGTAGTTTATGCTTTCAGTACTAGATTAATTCCCTGATCCTTTGAGTGGGTGGACAACATGTCAGTTCATGCTGCAAGAGCTCTGATAGGTTGGAGGACGTCCTCCAGTAGTGGTCATAATTACTGTGTAAGTCTATGGAAGGGGGTGAGAACCATGAACCTCCTAGGTTTTGTATTGAAGTCAATGTACCCAGAGGAGGACAGAAGCTAGCTGTCCTCTGGCTACACCATGGTGCTACCCTACAGAGTGCTGTTGAGGCTACTGTTGACCTTTTTTTGCAAAATAGTGTGTTTTAGTCAATTATTTGGTGACATATGACTATTAGTTTCCTTGTATCTAAAATGATAACTATATATTTTTCTTTTTTTTCTTTTTTTATCACTGAGGATTATGGTCCTCCCCTTCTTCCTCTGAGGAGCCTCCACTGGTTTGTACTCCTTCCAAAAATGAAACAAGACCATCAGGACCATGGACAAGTCAAAACTGTTCGCTGCTCTGGCACCCCAATGGTGGAACAAGCTCCCTCACGACGCCAGGACAGCGGAGTCACTCACCACCTTCCCTCTTTAAGGAATACCTGGGATAGGATAAAGTAATCCTTCTACCCCCCCCCCAAAAAAAAATTGTAAAGTGATTATCCCACTGGCTATAGGGTGAACGCACCAATTGGTGAGTCGCTCTGGATAAGAGCGTCTGCTAAATGACGTAAATGTGCCCTTGAGCAAGGCACTTAACCCTAATTGCTCCTGTAAGTCGCTCTGGATAAGAGCGTCTGCTAAATGACTAAAATGTAAAAATGTAAAAATGACAAGGCCGGCCCGTCACCCTCACCTGCCCTCTTGTGCCAGCACCGTCCCCTCCTCCTTCAGCCTGTTGCTCTTTACAGCGCAGTCCTCTAGGAGGACTTCACGTCGCCGCTTGATAGCATGTAGCCAGTCCACCTCGTCCACTCCATCTTCCTCTGGCTTCTCCGCCGCGGCTTCAAACTGCTGCACCGCTGCCTTGCACACCCGCTCGCCCACTTTCCTCTTCCAGCCGAACGAAGCCATCCTGTACAGAAACGAGAGTAAATGAGCTGAAACCTCTACATGCAAATAGCTCGCTACTACTGCTAACAGACACTTGAGACTTGTAACCTGTTTACGTTGAATTAGGTAGCTAGCAAGCGTGTAAATTGAAAGGGGAAGGGCTATACGTCCAGGGTAGGGGAGGGAATGGCCGGCAGGGGATGTAGCTCAGTTGGTAGAGCATGGCGTTTGCAACGCCAGGATTGTGGGTTCGATAAAAAATAATGTATGTGCTAACTGTAAGTCGCTCTGGATAAGAGCGTCTGCTAAATGAACCAAAATGTAAATGTAAATGTATACGGATACTCTTACGTGCAAACCAACTAGCCAAACCATTAACCCTGACCCAGCTAATTTTAACAAATTCTGAAAATAACGTTAAATATCAGTTTGCACGTCAGGAGTGTCTTAGCTAGCATGCTAATGTTAGCTAGCTAGAAGCTGGCTAGCAGATAGGTACAAGCGCTAACGTTTGATAACTGTAACTAATTATTTATCAAATGCATTTGATTTAACATCATTTAAACGCAGTTACCTGTGCTGCTGTAGCGATTGCTGAGCTTTCAACTCTCTGTTTAACCCGGAAGCTCTTGTGATTGTAAACACAGAAATGTAAAGGGACAGTACAAATCTTTAGAAGTCATTTGAAGGGTGCATGAAAGGAACAGCACAGCTATTTTGAAAAGTCTGGTCTAGATATGTGTGGGGCAGTCTTCCTCTTTTGTCAGTTTTAGGTAGATAGCTCTGCTTTTCCAAACATACATCTGTAGTTGTTTTATATAGCTACATGCTTTACATGCTTCCAGGTCTTTTGCTACTCTTTAAATCTGGGAAGGATGTATATTTGCAGCCATGCATCATAGTATTGCTATACAACTTTTTATTCTACAAATTGTCCAATGCCTCCAACAGAAACAAGGGAAGACATGAAAACGTGTGCAATTTAGCTGTTTATTAGGCAGTTGTGTGTACAAATGATTTAAACACTCACTGTCCATTTGATACATTTACATTGGTCATTATAGTAGTAGGGTCCCTTTACAAACCAAATAAAATTAAAACAAGGTTTCTTTACTAAACCAGTTAAGACAGATACTATTACATATTTATCCTGCAAAGTCAGCTCTTAACGCTCCCACTCAAAAGGAGAAAAACTACTCACTACTCACCAAATGTGCAACTTACTACATCACAAGCCGTTAGAAGAACATGGTCAAAAGAGAAAGACACAGGGTCATTGCACTTCCTCAGTAAACCGTTAGAAGAACATGGTCTCACACTAACTTATTTCAAAGAATCCCACAATTCACCTTACTATTTGGAATAGAACTTGCAACTGTCCTTGAAAACTAAAAAAAAAAAGTTTGTTTGGAGTCCTACAAATATTTAAATAATAATTTGGTCTACAAATTAGACCTTGCAGTAACATAATCCATAGGCATCATTTCTTCAGACCAAAACCAGCCCCACACAATATTGAGGCTAGAAGTAGATAGATAAATGTTTTTATATTCACTGATATAAAACTGATCAACAGTACTGATAATGATAAGGCAGCCAACAGAATGACGCAATCGAAGAGACATTGAATGAGATTCAAACACTCTTGAGTTTGAATCTCATTCAATGTGGGGGGGGGGGGGCAAGAAAAGTGAAAGTGATTTTTGTTGTTGTGATTGTTTCCTTCATCAATTTACATTGTCCATGCACATGTACTTGCTGCACATCACCACTCACAATGGTCCCAATCTCTCAATGTGTAACTGATGGATAGGCATGTGTACAAACTGAATGTTGGTCAAATCCTGCTAAAAGGCATGTCACTCAGTCAAGACACATTTATGAATGCATATAGCCCTCAACCTCTTAAAGATAAATTGGTAAAATGAAAAAAACAAAATGGTATATTTGAATTAAGTATAGGTACGTCTCATTTTGACTAGCATGGCAAAGAACTCTTGGGAGAGAGTGAGGAAAAACAATGTGTATAGAATAACTGATTTAAAAAAAAAACTGATATTGATTTAAGAAAGCAGTAAAAGGAATAAAATGTCATCCAGCAATATAGTCGTATGCAAAAAATAAAGAAAAATAATTCAGTCCATAATTATTTATCTCAATATAATCTACAATTCCCACTTAAAGCACTGATAAATATATCCAAATGCATGTTTTTTATTTATATATATAAAAATGTAGAGGACAAATAAATCCATACAAGCATTTCTTTTTTTTTTTTTACAACAATGACAAAGAACATGGACATCTAGTCTTAAAACTTAATTCAATTAACAACAAAACAAAAATGTGGATTAAGTACCAACTCCTTTTTCCACCCTGATGCGATCGAGAGAGAAAGATACAGGGTCATTTGCTTTTGTTTTCTCTACTGAAAAAAAGGACAGCAAAGCCCACTGAGTACAGTAAAGCAAATTCAGTGTATCACTCAGACTTAGCCTATATATATATATATATATATATATATATAAGGGTGGAATGTGATCTAAGAGGGGGAAGAAATCATCGTCTGCCAATTATAATGATCGTGAAAATATAAAACCATCTCTAAAATAGTATTCTGTCATCATGAATATAATAAAGTGGCTTGGTCATTGTCATTCACCTTTCCCTACACCCCACCCCTCTGCTCTGACAACAACCCCCAAGTGAGTCAGGGTAGGTGCGAACTGAACCTGCATCATCAGTGCCATGGAACAACCCTAGCCAGTTCCCCCGCCCATGGTGGGGATGAACCGAGCCATGAATCGGTTGCATGCTTATTGCTTATAAAGACACTCGGAGAGAAAAAAAAGGCGAACGTTTTGACTTGATTGTGAGCTATCGTGCAAGTAGCTTGATGAGATTGGCGCACATCTCAAAGAACTCTATGGTGTGGCTGCCGGGCCGCGGGTACGCTGTCGTCGGGGCGAGGTCGCCTCCCGTTGAGTCGACAGAGGAGGTGAGCGAGGAGGCCAGGGAGCTCTCCGAAGCCTTGGTGGGGGTGGGAGGGATGGAGGTGGCAGGGGTCGGGGTAGCATCCTCCTTAGTCCCCTCGGTTTGGGACCCCCCCTCTGCAGCAGTGTCGTTCTTAAGTGCCGTGCGGTAGTTTCCCAAAGACCCAGACCGGTGAGGAGTGGCAGTCCCAGATTTAGCCTCCAACATGTCATCTACAGACAGAGAGAAAGAAAGAGGGAAAAGAGAAGAGAAAGAGACAAATGTTAAACACACAGAAATACTTAGGTGGTTACAACTAAACACACAAAACAAACAAAAGCCACTATAGACAGACCTGTGCCATGTCTGTAAGGTGATCAAAAAAATATGAATTATTTTTTGAAGTCGGACGAGTAAATTTGCATTGCACTCAGCAGGGAAAAGCCTCTTATGTTTTGGCAATTTTCTGTGATGGTGTAGTCGGCAGTGTAGAAAACCACTTCCAAGTTCTAGACATGTTCTCATTAAGTCCAGGTTGACGTACTGTCTATGCTACGGAAGTCCAGGAGGTAGGTCCTGCTGTCCACCTGGTAGAGCTGAAGGCTCATCTTGGTCTGCATGCCAGTCACTGGGTTCTTCCTCTTTACACGCAGGTAGTACGGATTCACCACCTGGGGAGGAGGATATGGAGATTAGTGATGCATTCAACGATGTCAGAAGCTGGGTTTAATATGTCATAGATATAACATACAGCATAGAATATTACATTTTCAATATGGCTGCTGTAGCTGCTTCAGTGGTGATCTGTATTTAAGTGATTTCAGTGAACGTTTAGAACATGTTGCCTTTCGTCATCAAAATGGGAACTTTTGTGTATAACAGCAAAAAAGATTACGAAGAGTGTAGCAAATGTGAAATGGCTAGCTAGTTAGCGGTGCGCACTAGTAGCTTTCAAATCGGTGACATCACTCGTTATAAGACCTAGAAGTAGTTGGCTTTTGTGGCACAACAGGTAACGATGCTTTGTGGGTGACAGTTGTCGATTTGTTCAGAGGGTCCCAGGTTGGGGCAAGGAGAGGGACGGAAGCAACAATGTTACAAGAGCACAATATCAGCACTTTTAGAGTCTAGGCAGAACAACAGTGGTTAACTTTGTGGGACTGTACGTGAAGCTCAGTATGTTTTACTACTGTGTACCCAAACACATTAAACCATAAATAGCTGCTTTCCATCTATCAGGGCAAGAGAAGTATAAACAGGAAACCGAGCATTTCCTTCAGAAATTGCACTCTCATTTATCCTCAACATAACTTAAAAATGAGAGTCAGTCAGCTGATATAGTTTTAAAGTCTAAAGGTTGTGCCGTACTAAAATAGAACCCAATAGAAGAAGGAAATAGCCTCATTCCATTCCAGGTCAAGTAGAATTAGACCTGACAGAGCCAGCAGTTCACACCAAGCAGAAAAAGACAAATAATGGCATGTTAATTTTAACAAAGAACCAGGTCCACCATTACAAATACTTGGAGAAAACAAAACAAAAATGCAAAAGGTTTTACTGAGTTACAATTCATATAAGGAAATCAGTCAATTGAAATAATTTAATTAGGCCCTAACCTGTGGATTTCACATGACTGGGAATACAGATATGCATCTGTTGGTCACATAACATATTTTTTTAAAGGTAGGGGTGTGGATCAGAAAACCAGTCAGTATCTGGTGTGACCACCATTTGCCTCAAGCAGCGCGACATCTCCTTCGCATAGAGTTGACCAGACTATTGATTGTGGCCTGTGGAATGTTGTCCCACTCCTCTTCAATGGCTGTTGTGAAGTTGCTGTATATTGGCGGGAACTGGAACACGCTGTTGTACACGTCAAATGGAGCATCCCAAACATGCTCAATGTGTGACATGGCTGGTGAGTACGCAGGCCATGGAAGAACTGGGACATTTTCAGCTTCTAGGAATTGTGTACAGATCCTTGCAACATGGGGCCATGCATTATCATGTTGAAATATGAGGTGATGGCGGCGGATGAATGGCATGACGATGGACCTCAAGATCTCATCACGGTATCGCTGTGCATAAACATTTCCATAGATAAAATGCAATTGTGTGTAGCTTATGCCTGCCCATACCATAACCCCACCACGGGACACTCTGTTCACAACATTTTTAGTCATTTAGCAGACGCTCTTATCCAGAGCGACTTACAGGAGCAATTAGGGTTAAGTGCCTTGCTCAAGGGCACAGACAGATTTTTCACCTAGTTGGCTCGGGGATTAGAACTAGCGACCTTTCGGTTACTGGCACAACATTCTTAACCACTAAGCTACCTGCCGCGTTGACATCAGCAAAGCGCTCACCCACACGACGCCATAAACGCTGTCTGCCATCTGCCCGGTACAGTTGAAACCGGGATTCATCAGTGAAGAGCACACTTCTCCAGCGTGCCAGTGGCCATCGAAGGTGAGCATTTGTCCACTGAAGTCGGTTACGACGCCAAACTGCAGTCAGTTTGTGCAGAAATTCTTTGGTTGTGCAAACCCACAGTTTAATAATAATAATAATATGCCATTTAGCAGACGCTTTTATCCAAAGCGACTTACAGTCATGCGTGCATACATTTTTTTGTGTATGGGTGGTCCCGGGGATCGAACCCACTACCTTGGCGTTACAAGCGCCATGCTCTACCAGCTGAGCTACAGAGGACCAGTTTAATCAGCTGTCCGGGTGACTTGTCTCAGACGATCCCGCAGGTGAAGTAGCCGGATGCAGAGGTCCTGGGCTAGCGTGATTACACGTGGTCTGCGGTTGTGAGGCCAGTTGGACGTACTGCCAAATTCTCTAAAACGACATTGGAGGCGGCTTATGGTAGAGAAATGAACATTCAATTCTCTGACAACAGATCTGGTGGACATTCCTGCAGTCAGCATGCCAATTGCACGTTCCCTCAAAACTTGAGACATCTGTGGCATTGTGTTGTGTGACAAAACTGCACATTTTAGAGTGGCCTTTTATTGTCCCCAGCACAAGGTGCACCTGTGTAATGATTTACATTTACGTCATTTAGCAGACGCTCTTATCCAGAGCGACTTACAAATTGGATCATGATCATGCTGTTTAATCAGCTTCTTGATATGCCATACCTGTCAGGTGGATGGATTATCTTGGCAAAGGAGAAATGCTCACTAACAGGGATGTAAACTAATTTGTGCACAACATTTGAGAGAAATAAGCTTTTTGTGCATATGGAAAAGTTCTGGGATCTTTTATATCAGCTCATGAAACATGGGACCAACACTTGACACCATGCGTTTATATTTTTGTTTAGTATACTTTATTTCCCAATTCCAAATAAACCTCGAGCCCCTACCCCTTGACAGATCTATGAGGAACCCTTGATGGTTTTCTGTGTATTTCTCCCGGACCTCTTTACCCACTCCTTCCCTCCCCCTTCTGCTCTTCCTTCACACCATCCTCTTCCCCACTCTACGATTCTCCCTCCATCACTCCCTTCCTCCCTCCCCTCACCTTCCACTCGTAGTCCAGCTGCTTCATGGCCCGGCACACCTCAGACATAATATCACTGGGCCTGCTCTGGCTCCTGATCCCCAGGTGCCACTTAGCCCGCCTCACCCCTTGGTGCTTCGATTTCTGGGGGTTTAGCTCGTCCAGCGTATGCCTCGGCCTGGGAGGGGTCTCCGCTGCCAGGAACGGCTGCATGCGCTCGGGGTGGGGCTTAAGGCCTGCGGCGGCCGCGGCGGAGGCGGTCAGGTGCTGATCCTCCAGGAAGGAGTCTGGGGGACTGGAAGCCAGGTAGAAGTCTTTGGCCTCGGACATGATGCGGCGGTTGTCGATGATGAGGTGGTAGGCCACAGCCAGGGGGTCATGGTGGTTGCGGCTGTACAAGCAGGTCAGGATTTCCTCCTCAGTGCACTCAAACTTCTCACACACCTCCTTCAGGGCCTCGTCGTCAATCATGTTGTTGCTGTAGGACGGGTCCTCTGGGAACAAGTACTTGGGGAGCTCCTCTTTGAACCATTCATCCTCTCTGTGGCAAGGGAAGACAGAGCATGGTTAAAGTCAGGGTCAAGGTATTCTTTATTATCCCATAGGGACATTTGTTTACTTAAGAGGGCAGCTAGAAAACGTGTGGACCAGGAGGGGTGGGTTCACTTTGTTAGTGCTGGGCTGGAACTAAAGCCTGCACAGAGAAGGCAGGAGCTGCCCCAGGACAGGAGTTTTCCACCTCTATGATAGGTAGTACAGCGTGAAAACTAACACAGTTGCATTTTTGTTTTTAATGTATTTTATCTTCCATTACACTACTGCAGAGTGTATTAAGGTGTTTAAATGCACTTAGTATTTGAATGGAACGCATACAGGCGAAGTTGATTTCTTGTCCCTTCTTACCGGATCTCTTTGATGGTGGCTCTCTTCATGGGATCCACCTGCAGCATGTGTTTGAGCAGGGCGATGACGGAGGGGTTCAGGTACTGAGGCGTGAAGAAGATCCCGTCACAGATCTTCTTGAAGAGCGTTGGCACATGGTCGTCATCGAAGGGCAGCGTCCCACACAGCAGGGCATACAGGATCACCCCACTGCTCCAGATGTCCACCTCAGGACCTGCATATAACCTGGCAGGAAACAGGTAAATCAAACACATTTATGAATCCCTTTAGATCAGGGATGGGCAACTTTGATGGGGGTGGGGGCCACAAAAAATAAATGAACTCATGGAGGGGCCGCAGTGGCTCGTGGGTCTGCACACCCACATCCCTCCCCCCACCTTGCGAGCAAAACATTTTAGCTGCCTCCCTCGTGACAGTGAAGACAAAAAAATTACGTATTAAAGTACATTTCTTGCAATTCTAAACATTTTGCCATGGGGCGGAGAATAGTTTTTGCCGTTTTACAGCTAATTTCCTGCAATTCTACACATTTTGCCATACGGTGGAGGCAAATGTTTGCAGTTTTTAATATGATAACTGATGATCAAATGGGCCCCACCGTGGTCGGTAATTCGACCATGCTTACTACAAGTTTAGTTAGCTGGCCGCTAGACTAACTTACCAATCTAAAAGATTTTAGCTGACATGGGCTAATTGAGTGACTGCTGATGCACAACCACATTTCGAAATTGCACCTTGTGTATTCTATTATTCTAACTCTCAACAGACTGAGTTCCTAAAAAAATTAATACAAATTATTTGGGTTTAATATTTTGTGTGAAATTGGTCCGCGGGACACCAGTTGCCCATCCCTGCTTTACATCAACAGTTGCCGCAAAGTTGTTTACAGTAATACAGTCTAGACTCCAAAGAGAAACCAGAAGCATAGAGGACAAGACTACCTGCATTTAACCTGGGAGGACAGACAGATGGAGGGGGGAGAAGACAGTTCATGGACATGAACCAAGAGTCTTTTAGTACGGTGAATATTGAGTGAGACATTTATCAAGAACGGGAGGGTCTTTCACCAAAGCAAAACCGTGAAATTTAACAGTCCTTTTAACATGAACAGCCTTCCTTATTGAAATGTAACAGCGATTTTCGCACACATTAGCACATTCCCCATCACGTCTGCCATAGTTTTAGTGTGAAAGAAAAGGCGAGGACAAGACTACCTTCCAGAGATGACTTCAGGGGCAGCGTAGTTCGGAGAACCACAACTCGTCCTCAGAAACTCTCCGTCCGACATCATGTTTGACAAACCTACAGAAAACACCAGACAATATCACATAATGTCCAAAGGTAGTGCACTATATAGGAAATAGGGTGTCATTTCAGACATACCCTTTCCAGTAACTATGGTGGATGCGTAACCAAGCCAACTCAGTACAGTTAGGCATGGCTCGATTTGGAAGTGTAAATCAGGTATAGGTGTAGAAAGCTGCCGGTCGATTTGTGTGGGGTTAGGGTTGAGGGTGACAGTGACTTGCCAAAGTCAGCGATCTTGGCGTTCATCTGTGCATCCAGCAGGACGTTCTCAGGCTTCAGGTCTCTGTGCACCACCATGTGTCTGTGGCAGTAGTCTACTGCGGAGATTATCTGCTGGAACAGACGACGGCTCTCCTTCTCATCCAACTGGAGACACACACACACGAAACGCAGACACAGAAACACACACGAGAGGTGAGATATTTCACTTTTAGCTGTCCATTCAGTGTCTATTTCAGTATTGTAAGTAACCACTCTGGATATTTGGTCAGTGACTTTCCTTGAATTATTTAGTAGTCCTTAAAAACCACTTAGAAAGAATGCAGTGCAGAGATCGAGCTTTGTGAATTATGTTTTTGTGTACGGAAGGAGGGGTAGTCCATACGAGAGGCAGGCTATAACATGACTATTGACACAACCATTATACTACCCAAGTCTCATGACGACAGACAAGTAATTAGCTAAGTGATTAAGATTCAGGTGAGCAAAAGACTACCTACAATCCAAAACAACAGTTCATTTTAGCAGATAGACAACATATTTTAACAGATAGGCTTAATGAGGCTTAATGTACACTGCTCAAAAAAATTAAGGGAACACTTAAACAACACAATGTAACTCCAAGTCAATCACACTTCTGTGCAATCAAACTGTCCACTTAGGAAGCAACACTGATTGACAATACATTTCACATGCTGTTGTGCAAATGGAATAGACAACAGGTGGAAATTATAGGCAATTAGCAAGACACCCCCAATAAAGGAGTGGTTCTGCAGGTGGTGCCCACAGACCACTTCTCAGTTCCTATGCTTCCTGGCTGATGTTTTGGTCACTTTTGAATGCTGGCGGTGCTTTCACTCTAGTGGTAGCATGAGACGGAGTCTACAACCCACACAAGTGGCTCAGGTAGTGCAGCTCATCCAGGATGGCACATCAATGCAAGCTGTGGCAAGAAGGTTTGCTGTGTCTGTCAGCGTAGTGTCCAGAGCATGGAGGCGCTACCAGGAGACAGGCCAGTACATCAGGAGAAGTGGAGGAGGCCGTAGGAGGGCAACAACCCAGCAGCAGGACCGCTACCTCCGCCTTTGTGCAAGGAGGAGCAGGAGGAGCACTTCCAGAGCCCTGCAAAATGACCTCCAGCATGCCACAAATGTGCATGTGTCTGCTCAAACGTTCAGAAACAGACTACATGAGGGTGGAATGAGGGCCCGACGTCCACAGGCAGGGGTTGTGCTTACAGCCCAACACCGTGCAGGACGTTTGGCATTTGCCAGAGAACACCAAGATTGGCAAATTCGCCACTGGTGCCCTGTGCTCTTCACAGATGAAAGCAGGTTCACACTGAGCACATGTGACAGACGTGACAGAGTCTGGAGACGCCGTGGAGAACGTTCTGCTGCCTGCAACATCCTCCAGCATGACCGGTTTGGCAGTGGGTCAGTCATGGTGTGGGGTGGCATTTCTTTGGGGGGCCGCACAGCCCTCCATGTGCTCGCCAGAGGTAGCCTGACTGCCATTAGGTACCGAGATGAGATCCTCAGACCCCTTGTGAGACCATATGCTGGTGCGGTTGGCCCTGGGTTCCTCCTAGGGTTCCTCCTAATGCAAGACAATGCTAGACCTCATGTGGCTGGAGTGTGTCAGTAGTTCCTGCAAGAGGAAGGCATTGATGCTATGGACTGGCCCGCCCGTTCCCCAGACCTGAATCCAATTGAGCACATCTGGGACATCATGTCTCGCTCCATCCACCAACGCCACGTTGCACCACAGACTGTCCAGGAGTTGGCGGATGCTTTAGTCCAGGTCTGGGAGGAGATCCCTCTGGAGACCATCCGCCACCTCATCAGGAGCATGCCCAGGCGTTGTAGGGAGGTCATACAGGCACGTGGAGGCCACACACACTACTGAGCCTCATTTTGACTTGTTTTAAGGACATTACATCAAAGTTGGATCAGCCTGTAGTGTGGTTTTCCACTTTAATTTTGAGTGTGCCTCCAAATCCAGACCTCCATGGGTTGATACATTTCATTTCCATCGATAATATTTGTGTGATTTTGTTGTCAGCACATTCAACTATGTAAAGAAAGAAGTAAGATTATTTCATTCATTCAGATCTAGGATGTGTTATTTTAGTGTTCCCTTTATTTTTTTGAGCAGTGTAGAATAACCCCTAATGTCTGTTTTGTTGTTGAACCAAAACCAGGTCCATAATTTTCATAAAGTTTACATACATTAGAGTGTGTTTTCCTCAGAGGGAGGGGGGGGGGGGGGGTCTTACCTTTCCATTTTTGCAGATGTAGTCAAAGAGCTCTCCTCCGGACACATACTCCATCACCATGAAGATGTCTGTTGGGGTGCTGATCACCTGGTACCTACAGCCCCACAGGAGAAACAACAACAGTCACACACAGAAAATAGTCTAGTCATGATTGGACCAAGAGATTTCTCTGACCATGCGACCCACCTGATCAGGAAAAAACTCTGGGCTCTACTCATAAACACCAGAGAAAACAGTCAAGGATCACCAAACTTTGACAAACCTATAATAAAAAAAGCTATTGCTATATTTCAGCTTTACCACAGCAATAAAAAGGAAGAAAATTGCAATATAACATCAGAATGAGAGGTAGGTGTTTTAGGACAGATGAATCCTCTCAAAAGCCATTAATTGATTCTAAACCTAGAGGCAGGATAACTCCTTTGTGGGCCATTGGGTTCAATGACTGGACGGTGTGAGGGAGACTGGCCACAAGCCATGGAACACTTCAACTTGCTAAACATAGGCCTACTTCACTAGAGCAAACCTCCGCTACATTTCTTCATTCATGTGTCACATATTGGTAACACAAGGTTATCAACACAAGTGTCGTATAAAACACAGCAGCTTCAGAAAACTCACTCTTGTAAAACTATTTCTACTGGCCTCTACGGACAAGACGTCAGTGAATACGGGGGGGAAAGGGCAACTCTTTCCTCATTCTTGTGCAGCATTTTGAGATTTTCAACTTGACTCCAAGGGGTACACGTTAAAAGAAAGTGTGAAAATTCTGGCCTAGTCACAAGGGAGCAGGCCCCCAGAAATGCCCGAACAAGGCCTACACAATGATCCTCAGTGGAGCTCACAGCCAGGTCATGGAGACTACTCATGTACGGGGACTTTTCATTCAGTCAATAGTAATAGGACTAGTTCGAAAAAAATACAAACAAAACAGCCGGAAACATAAGGGAGATCTGACCCTTCATAACCAATGAGCTAAATCATGGAAACACTGCATTTAATCAAGATACTCTTTGAAAAGGTAGGTTTTCAGACGTTTTCGGAAGATGGGCAGGGACTCAGCTGTCCTGACGTTAGGGGGAAGCTTGTTCCACCATTTTGGTGCCGGGACAGAGAAGAGCTTTAACTGGGATGAGAGATGTCAAGGGGGGGAAAAAGACAGAGGATGATGGAGAAAAAAAAAGAGAGAAGTCAAGGGATGAATAGAGATGGTGAGAGAGATTGAGGGGAGAAGAGAGAGTATCAGAGATGCAGAGATAAAGAGAAAGTGTGATCTACTCTATAAAACCCACCATTTAAGTCCTAAAATAGCTCTCTGGGGGGGGGGGGGGGAATACGTAGGGGGCCGTGCGATGGAGCGAGCTGTGTAATCTAGGACTTGCAGCTTAATAATGCGTGATGCCTGAAAAGATGGAGGTTCTAGGAGGTTCTAGATTTACAGCTTAATGATGCAGGGATGCCTGAAGAGCTTGAGGTTCTAGACTTACAGCTTAATGATGCAGGGATGCCTGAAGAGCTTGACGTTCTAGACTTACAGCTTAATGATGCAGGGATTGAAATGTTCCATCCCGAGAATAAATCCCTTTTCTCCCGGGTAACCCGGTATTTCCCGCCAAAACCGGAAGTGTCATTCAAAAGCATATAAATGTCGATTTGATTAGAGCTTTGATCAGAATGAAAATTCAAACCTGATGCTACATAGCCCGATGAGCCACATATTTAAAAAAATATATGAGCCCTACATTAAATGACATTTAATGAGTCCAAGCCCAAATGATTGTGCCGTTATCCAATACAAATACACTGAACAGAAATATAAACGCAACATGTAAAGTGTTGGTCCCATGTTTCATGAGCTGAAATAAAAGATCCCAGAAATGTTCCATACAAACAAAAAGCGTATTTCTCTCAAATTTTGTGCACAAATTTGTTTACATCCCTGTTAGTGAGCATTTCTCCTTTGCCAACATAATCCACCCACCTGACAGGTGTGGCATATCAACACGCTGATTAAACAGCATAATCATTAAACAGGTGCCCCTTGTGATGGGGATAATAAAAGGCCACTCTAAAATGTGCAGTTTTGTAACAGAACACAATGCTACACGTCTCAAGTTGAGGGAGCATAAAATTGGCATGGTGACTGCAGGAATGTCCACCAGAGCTATAGCCAGAGAATTCAATGTTCATTTCTTTACCATAAGCCGCCTCCAACATCATTTTTAGAGAATTTAGCAGTACGTCCAACCGGCCTCACAACCGCACGCCTGGTGTATGGCGTCGTGTGAGCGAATGGTTTGCTGATGTCAACGTTGTGAACAGAGTGCCCCATGGTGGCGGTGGGGTTATGGTATGGGCAGGCATAAGCTACGGACAACTAACACAATTGCATTTTATCGATGGTGATTTTTGAATGCACAGAGATACCGTGATGAGATCCTGAGGCCCATTGTGAGCCCCATTTTTGTAAAGATATCTGTGACCAACAGATGCATATCTGTATTCCCAGTCATGTGAAATCCATAGATTAGGGCCTAATTTATTTATTTAAATTGACTGATTTTCTTATATGAACTGTAACTCAGTAAAATCTTTGTTCAGTATATGATATAGGCTACTGCACATTAAGCATGACAGAAAAACATAAAAGCCCATAGATGTAGCTAGCTATATGCTCTCTTGGGTAAATAAATGAAACTAGCTCCAGTAGGTTAATCTTTTTGTGTGTGGACTGTATTACAGTACTGTATTGTATTATACTGGATTATATGGACTGGAATTACACACATGATAAAGCAGAAGAGAACATGCAAATCTGGTGCAGCACATGCGGCCTACAAAGTTACAAGTATAGGCTAGCGAATTTGATTTTAATTTAGAAATTTAATAGGGCCTATTTGTATAATTTGTAAGCTGACGTATATATACACCTTCCATAATATTTCCCCTAATGTTATTAGCCTACCTCTTTCTCTCTCTATTGTTGCTTCATTCCTTCCTCGCTTTCAACAGTTAAATTAAATACGTTTTGTTGTCCTTATCTTCATCATTCTAATGATATCCTTGAATAATATAGGACTAGAATTAGTTGCAGAAGGCTTTACCTTCTCTTTGTGAACATTGAATGCTATAGCCTACCGCCATCATGCGTTCAATTATTATTTCAAACTACCCGTGAGTTCTATTGGCTGCTGTATTTAACATTAATCAAGAAAGAGCTTGCGTCCCTCTTCGAATAGTCTATTGGTATAAGTATTATGTCCAGCAAGCTATTCTAGTCTAGCTTTTCCTGCATGGGACTCCAAGAGCTAAGGAGCGTTTTTTAAGGAAAGGCCAGCAGAGCACAGGTGCTTGCTTATTGCGCAAGAGACAGAGGCTACAAGTTAGAAGCGCATTATGCATAACCCATCATTAATTAGCTAAATATAAGGCTAATACTGCATTGAATTATATTACCTGAAAGAGGTAGGCTAGGACATCTATATATAGGGCTATATATCAATCTAGAACAGGATTATCTATTTTGGATGCAATATGAATGGAGTTGATGGAGAGAGAGAGAGACCGTGAGAGTGCTCGCGCGTGCACTGATTTAAAGCAACAATATTCTAGGCTGTTTTAAAACTCTCTAGCTGCAATAAAAAAGAGAGCCAGATGGAGATGGGTAAATTAGACAAGCATTCTGTCTTTATATTACTGTATTATAGGCTATTTGCAGCAAATGTAGGCCTACCTGTCACAAGAAAAAAAGTTACCATGATGAGATGATGTCTACATGCATTGTGAACTGCGCTCCATACTGAGATGGGCGGTCCCTGAGCGTTGATTCATCATGCAGAGGCCGTGGAGAAGCCAGATTTAGACATTGCATATAATTTAACAGTTCCATTTCACGCCATGCTGTTCATATATATAATGTATAATAATTTACTGGTTTCTCGCAGTTATTTATCCCAGGAAAAGGGAGTGGTTTAGGGCGGTAAATCCCAGTAAATCTCAGTAACCGTGTTCCCGCCATTGAACCATATTCTAAACTTACAGCTTAATGATGTGTGGATGCCTGAAGAGCTTGAGGTTCTGGATCTCTCTACGGATCTTCCCCACCACATCCAGACTGCGGATCTTCTGTCTGTTCAGGATCTTCACAGCCACCTGGTGTTTGGTCAGCTCATGCTGCCCCACTACAGGAGAGGAGAAAGGGCAGGGGAGAGAGAGAGAGAAGGCAGGGGAGAGAGAGGGAGGGAAGATAAGGGAGAGCAGTACAGGAGTAAGGGGGAGCGAGGGATGGGAGGAAGAGTTAGGAAATACTGTAATAAGAAACCAGGCATAAACACGATCTTAGCAGCCACAAACTGCTACACAATGACACATGCAATGCAACACTGTGGTTAACAGCAGAATGACACTTGCAATGCAATTGTGGTTAACAGCAGAAGGAAACGTCTTATTCTGCATGGCTTATAGGCCCAGGCCTACATCAGTTTACAGATGTAAATTACTGTGTAGCCTACACCAAGGTTCAATGCAAAAAGTAAGCAAATATAGGCCTACCTAAAAACTGGTCAGAAGAACAAGTGAAAATGTACTTGACTGAACAGAGGGGAATCAGAACGAGTGAGGGGATGGGGCGTGTACAAATAGCTGCTATTGATTAAACTGTTATGCTGGTGATGCATTAACCCAGCAGCCAGTCGCCTAGAATATAATCATGGAGTAAATGTCCCAATGTGCAGTGTGCTCCATCCTGACCACTGGGACAAAGTAGAAAAGATATTAACAGTCTATAGGCCTAGAGTAAATGGCCCAATGTGCAGTGTGTTCCATCCTGACCACTGGGACAAAGTAGGAAAGATATTAACAGTCTATCTATAGGCCTAGTTGGTGGTGGCTTGATAATAGAATTCTGTTCTCAAATACCAAGGAAATGTACCTTTTCTAGTTGGAAATGGGCCTAACAGATTATGGCCTAGCAGCTAGGCTATACAAGTCAGTTTGGTCCTCTACTGAAAGTTTGGACATAACGTTAATCAACGTTAATCATTTTAGGTGATGTGCCATTAGAAAATGATTTTGACATGGTGTAGATTGAGAGCAACCCAGGGACAATGCTCCACCCAATTATTGAGGATAAACAATGGCTAATGTCAACACTACTACTGGGATGTGGTGGGAGGGTATTTGTAAAGACGTTTTATGTCCTCATTAATAATTCAGCCAGGCCCAGTATAGTTCAGTATGTATGGCTTCCATCAAATACACTTCCATTAATGTTGACCCTGGGGGATCAAGACTAACGTTAACGGGTCAGTTTGATTTGATTTAACTAACGTTAGTTAGCTGATGTAGGCTTCCTGGCTGAGAAACCACTCATTTAACTTAGCATTGGTTAGCAATTTGAAGATTATGCTAGTTGGCCAACTATCAAGTAAACTTGGTTAGTTTAAACTGTCACTCGACCACATAACTAGCTGGCAGGCTAGAAAACATTATTGTTAGAACACATGATACAGCACTATCGTTTGATAGATTAAATGTACACCGGCTAGTTAACTCAGCCAGGCTCTACAATCTAACAGCTAACCTTAGCGAGCTAGCATAGTTCGCTATATTTAGCGGCCAACAAGTGCTAGAGAGAAACATCCCATCCTCTCTCGCGGGTATCCGGTCGAAACTTGACAAGAAAAGTAATCACACTTACCTTTAACTTTCCCGAACGTCCCCACTCCAAGTGTGTCTCCAAGAATATAGTGTCCAATTTTCACTCTGCCTTCATGTTTCTGTTTTTCCGTCGCCATCTTTCCCGCAGTGGCCTAGCTTAGCCTTGCTACTGTGCTGTGCTGCTGCTGCGAGCAGACTAGCAGAACCGAGCAAGCAACTGCGACTGGGTCGTCACTAGTTACCACAGCCACAAATGGCTAAACCCCGCCTATTTCTACAATGTATCTTCTTAACATCTGATTTCAAACTTAACCTTAACCACACTACTATGCTTATGCCTAACCCTAACCTTAAATTAAGACCAAAAAAAGACAATTTTTGTTTTCATTAATTTTTACGATTTAACCAAATTTTACTTTGTGGCTGTGGTAACTAGTGATAACTCCGCGACTGCGAAGAGGCGTGGAAAAAATACCCTTCCGGTGTCATCATTGGGACTAGTTGAAGTGGGTTTTCAAAATAAAAGTCTAGACAAATTGCTGTCAAAGTGTGTGTATGTGCAATGGTGTAAAGTACTTAAGTCAAAATGCTTTAAATTACTACTTTTTTGGGGGTATCTGTACTTTACTTTAAAAAGATAAGTTAAAAAGTTAAAAAGTTACGTTTAAAAAGTGCCCTCAAAGCTCATCACTAAGCTAAGGATCCTGGGACTAAACACCTCCCTCTGCAACTGGATCCTGGACTTCCTGACGGGCCGCCCCCAGGTGGTAAGGGTAGGTAACAACACATCTGCCAAACTGATCCTCAACACGGGGGCCCCTCAGGGGTGCGTGCTCAGTCCCCTCCTGTACTCCCTGTTCACCCATGACTGCATGGCCAGGCACGACTCCAACACCATCATTAAGTTTGCCGACGACACAACAGTGGTAGGCCTGATCACCGACAACGATGAGACAGCCTATAGGGAGGAGGTCAGAGACCTGGCCGTGTGGTGCCAGGATAACAACCTCTCCCTCAACGTGACCAAGACAAAGGAGATGATTGTGGACTACAGGAAAAAAAAAGAGGACTGAGCACGCCCCCATTCTCATCGACGGGGCTGTAGTGGAACAGGTTGAGAGCTTCAAGTTCCTTGGTGTCCACATCACCAACGAACTATCATGGTCCAAACACACCAAGACAGTTGTGAAGAGGGCACGACAAAGCCTATTCCCCCTCAGGAGACTGAAAAGATTCGGCATGGGTCCTCAGATCCTCAAAAAATGATACAGCTGCACCATCGAGAGCATCCTGACTGGTTGCATCACCGCCTGGTATGGCAACTGCTTGGCCTCCGACCACAAGGCACTACAGAGGGTAGTGCGTACGGCCCAGTACATCACTGGGGCCAAGCTTCCTGCCATCCAGGACCTCTATACCAGGCGGTGTCAGAGGAAGGCCCTCAAAATTGTCAAAGACTCCAGCCACCCTAGTCATAGACTGTTCTCTCTGCTACCGCACGGCAAGCGGTACCGGAGTGCCAAGTCTAGGTCCAAAAGACTTCTCAACAGCTTCATACCCCCAAGCCATAAGACTCCTGAACAGCTAATCATGGCTACCCGGACTATTTGCACTGCCCCCCCACCCCATCTTTTTACGCTGCTGCTACTCTGTTAATTATTTATGCATAGTCACTTTAACTCTACCCACATGTATATATTATTTCAACTACCTCAACTAGCCGGTGCCCCCGCACATTGACTCTGCACCGGTACCCCCCTGTATATATAGCCTCCCTACTGTTATTTTATTTTACTTCTGCTCTTTTTTTTCTCAACACTTTTTTGTTGTTGTTTTATTTTACTTTTTGATTAAAAATAAATGCACTGTTGGTTAAGGGCTGTAAGTAAGCATTTCACTGTAATGTCTGCACCTGTTGTATTCAGCGCATGTGGCCAATAAAATGTGATTTGATTTGATTTTGATTTACTTTACTATTTACATTCCCAAAGAAAATATTGTACTTTTTACTCCATACATTTTCCATGACATCCAAAAGTATTCGTTACATTTTAGCAGGAGAGGAAAATGGCCAAATTCACACACTTATCAAGAGAACATCCCTGGTCATCCCTACTGCCTCTGATCATTTTCTATTAAGGTATCTTTACTTTTAATCAAGTATGACAATTGGGTACTTTTTCCCACCACTGTGTATGTGTGTGTATGTGTGTGTATGTGTGTGCATAAACACATAATCTGGGCTGTAGGGCCCTGGCCCCTGCAATGTAGCCTATTGTAAAAATGTTGTTTAATAAAACCTTAAAACATATTCCCCCTCTTATCATCTAAGTGATGATCACTGATCAATAATCAGTCCGACCAATGACTGTTTATACTGTATGAGTCTGACTCATGCGCATGTCTACTTTGCAGCCACCAGATGACAGTCAAACTCAATGTTTGAGTTGATTAGAAACGTGAAACAGTGTCGGTTCAATCATTGCTGTGTCTCCAGTAGATCAGTAGTCCGTGTATTTCCAGAGAGGAGAGGGAGGCCTGAGAGTGGGACTATATAACACAGAATAAAGGTTACAGCCACAGACACAGATAAGCCTCTGGCAGGACTACTAACAGTGATTGTTTTGTGCATCATTTCCTTTCTAGGGCTGCGTCCCAAATGGCACCCTATATCCTTACATAGTGCACTACTTTTGACCAGAGCCCTATGGGAATAGGGTGCCATTTCGGACATAGCCAGGGACTAGAAGCCTACTCAGAGATTGAGGCACAGTTGCTTGTACAGATAGCAGTAGCATGTACAGTCAGTACTAGGGAATGGGATTGAATGGAAATCATCAGCAGACAGAGAAAAATCCTAGAAAGAAATCCCACTAATGGCTCATCCAGGTCGCTGTGATTTCTGAACCCTAGACGAGATTACTGTAATATAATATCTGAATTATCCCACCACTCGGTGGTGTCACATTATAAATAGTTGAATGAATGATGGATGGATGGATAAAGATAAAATGAGAGAGCAGAGGAGTGTGCAACAGTGAGAAATCAAAGCCAGAAATGTATGATTGACGCAGACTTTTCACTGTACGGAGGAGGAGAGGAGGACCTTTAATATCTTGCTCTCTCAATCATGCCTAATAATGTTGAGCTTTGAAGCTCAGTAGGACTGACCCTGGATTAGAGATAGAGACCTCAGAGAGAGAAAATAAAGAATAGAAATAGAAAAGAGAGAGGGGTTGATGAGGAAGGAAGGAATGGTGATGTTGATCATAGAAAGAAAGCGAGACAATAGAAAGAGGGGTTGAGGAGGGAGGGGTGTTGTTGAAAGCCTGGAATGATAGAAAGAATGAATAGAAAGAGAGCAAAAATAGAGAGAGGTTGAGGAGGAGGGAGGGGGGTTGTTGGGAGCCCCAGCCCCGGATGTTGCATGTCCACCACACAGCAGGGTACCTGCCACAGGGAATCAGACCAGACCAGGCTGCAACCAGACAGACAGACAGCATTGATGTTTTAAAGCGTTTGAAGTGTTTCTCTAGTCTATCTAGACTGTGTCAGTCGGAGAAAACCTGGGACGAAACATTGCTTTAGACGCAACCTGTGAGAAAATAGCAGCAGTAGCAATAGACAGTACACATCTGTAAGTCTATGTTCATCAGGATACTATCACACAGGCCTATAGGATGCAGCAAAAGATGCAGCTGTTGGAGATGTGCCTTTTGGAGAATAGATACAGATACTCCTTTATTGACTTTCCCCATTTAATATCATAGTCAGGGAACAGTGACAAAGCAAAGCACGTAACAAGAGCACCAGGGCTAAAGGCAGCCTATGGAGTAGTAGAGCATTTTGTTTGGGTGAATTTCAGATGCCAGTCCTAACTCCTACCTCAGTAGGACTTTAGCCGCTGTCGTTGAACAGGCCTTTGGCAGCAGTGGCAGGTGTTTACAAGGAGCACTGATGATTATTTTAATTACACAAGTGCTTATGGTGCTTTTTATCCCATCAGATTCCCTCGTTAGTGTGCTGGGCTTGTTAGTGTATTCCCTCTGTATCCAAATTGCTCCGAAAGATTAACATATTTTCCCAGAAGCAAGCAGTATGCTTTCTGGGTGCCATGTGTTTACAAACCAATGAACAGTAGAAGTCAATAGCCATGCATTTGTGAACATATATGGAAAGTGAGATCCCCGTGTCGAGATGAGATTTGCTTGCAATGTGCATGTTAATTTGACTAAGTGGCTGCACTACTAGGCCTACTATACTGCCAACTTTTAGCTGTGTGTGTGTTTTCAGAAATACACAGGATACATATGTGTGGAACACAGTGCTTGACTTGGGATGAAAGAAGTGTAGGAGCTGTCTCTTTCCAAGTCAGTCCATTAGACTTTGTTCACCGAAATTCACAAATGACATTATGCTATAGAGACCTCTGATTATTCACTGTTAAAGGTTCATACACATTTTCCATGACTTCCCCAAATTTTCATGACTATTATTATAGCCTACATGAAAAAGTAACCATTACTTGATCCCATGTAGGCCTACAATATCCTGCCGTTGTGCCCTTGATCAAGGCACTTAACCTCCCACAAAGTAGAACTGCACACCCAGTAGCGATCCTGGAGGATGGTTGCCACCCTTGATATAAAATATTGCAACATTACAACCAAATACTTTTGTCTTTATGAAATGATTCCCTCATTCAATGAATAAGGGTGAAACAGATAAAGGTGGGCAACTTCAAAGCAAGGTATCTAAATGTTTATATATAAGGCTAAAATATGAATATTTCAGAGGAGATCTATGCACAGCAAGTTATTTGTCAATTAAGATATTCTTAGAATATGTTTGTTGTCGCAATTACATGGCTACGGTTTAATAGAGGGGGAATCCCAGTTTTCCAACCGTGCAGATTTATTTGAAAGGGGACAATGGCATTAATGCTTAGTTAACTATAGTTAACTTGCGAGATAACTGCTACACGTTGTTTTGAATTGGCTATCTAGTTAGTCTTGTCTGTCATTATTTTATACTTGCTGCTGAAATGTTGCGCTCTCTCTCCTCAGACAATGGCCCACTCGAACTGGCACACACAGACACTCACTGAAAGGTCATTCGGATCATGGCTGATGTCTTT